GCCATTTGGGGAACAAACCAGCAAATGAAAGATCTCTTCTTTCTCGCTTCTCTCTGTCACTCTGCCTTTCAAATAACTGAGAAAAAACACCCGACTCGGGGCAGCTGAGTCGATCCCGTTGTGTTTAACTGCAGGATTCTCATGCCTCCTTCACTCATATGTACAAACGGGTAGGTAGGCCCTGATCCCCGGCTGCCCCGCTCCCTGGCTGCCATGCTCCCCCGATGCCGTGCTCCCTGGCTGCCCCGGTCCCCGGCTGCCGTGCTCCCCGGCTGCCGTGCTCTCTGGCTGCCCCGCTCCCTGGCTGCCCTGCCTCACAACAAACTCTTTATGACTTCCATGTTGCCTGCATGGTGCCAGACTCAGGATGAACTGGGGCTTGGACTGCAGGCAGCTATGTCAAACTGGGCAAGATTTGCAGGAGACTATCAATAAAACTGAGTTAGAATCTGTAAAATCTGACAGAGAGAGAAAGAGAGAGATCCTAGAAGTCCCGCCCAGCTCTGACATGACAGGCTCCCTTCCTGGGCTCACACAAGCCCTAACCCAGCAGGTGTATTTCTGCCAGCTAGAAAGTACTCCACTCAGCTCTTGCTAAAGTTCTCAGGACAAGGGTCTTCACCAGCCTCTCCTGACCTTTGTTCCTCCACTTCTTACCCCTGGAAGGCTTCTGCGCCGCGGCAGAGGGAGGAAAGAGGAAGAGCCTTGAACTGAACTTTGTGCCAAGTTGACCAGACAAACAGCAGATGTCTGCCTCATTCCCCAAACCATCGCCAACTCGACTATAAACTCCATCCCAGGGGGCAGGGGGTGGGATGTATGCCAGAACGACAAGAATGCATGCACCAGGCCCCAGAACCCCGGGCTGCAGCAGGCCAGGGGGTCGGTGTGCACGACGCGGGGTCACGCATGGGACTGTGTCGGTGAAGTGGCCTCTGCCAGCTCCACGCAGAGATGCACGGACCCGCCGGCTTCTCGGCCTCCGGGCCTGCCCTCTGGGGTCCCGGCGTGGGGAGCCCCCGCACGCCGGGCGAGATCTGCCCCCATACGCACACGCAGCGAGCCCCGAGGCCCAGGCTGGACTGCCCGCCGCGTCTCCCCCCTCAGGAGCACCCGTGCTCGCCTCTGCGGTCCCCACCTCGGTTCCCTCGCTGCGACCGGGCATCCGGAGTCCGCTGCCCACCCGCACTCGGGCACTCTGTCCCCGCAATCGCGCGTCGCAGCCGCGGGCTCCGCCCCTCCACCGCGCCCTGTGAGTCATACCTTCTGATTGGCTACTCCAAACGCCCGCTGCCCAGTCAGCACAGTCTATTGGAAGCTCGGCTCGGCTCGGCCCGTCCCCCTTCTCGGCCACGCCTAGAGCTCCGGCTTCTGATTGGCTGTCTTCAGTCCTGCTCCCGCCTTCTGCTGACGGGCACGCCGCTCCGAAGCGGTCTACCTCAGCGGGTTCTCGAACCTCGAGCGGCACGACTCGCAGCCGATCCGCGTCCTGTCAGGCGGTGGCCGCCGGCTCCCGGGGTGGGAAGCGCCCGGGTCGCACGTGCCGCTTTTCTTCCGTCCCCGTCCCCTCCTGCTGCGTGTGGCGTTGGAGCCCGAGGGGAGGGGGCAGCGCGGTCACCGGTCAGGATCCTCGTGACTCAGATGGCGGCCGGTGGTTCATCATTAACAGCTGGTAGCTGAGGACTGGCCACGCTGGCAGCGCCGTGCCCTGCCCTAGGCGGCGGCGACCCTCTCCACCCCGTCCGGGCATTGCATGCGCTGGCCAGCACGCGCCTAAGAAGGGAGAGGACACCCAAGTTCTTGGGACCCTGCCACCCACCTGAGGGGCCAGGTTGTAGGTCCTCGGTTCCCTGCTGGCCCAGCCCGGGCTGTTGTGACCACCTGGGGAGTGAAATCAGTGAATGCAACATCTCGCGGTGTCTTCCTCTTTCCCCTTGAGTGGATTTGCCTTTTTAAAAAAAAATTTTTTTAAGGACTATCTTCATATATGTGTTGTGCATTTTAAATCTTGTAAGACAAATTGCTTACAGTCTCCTATTAAGGCTTTTAATACACCCTGCACAAGCGCGCCTGGGCTCAGTCGCACCAACACCGGTTATATTCCGGAACTCTAAGTTATTGCTTGTATCGCACCCTTGGAGCGCTTAGGTTCAGTTCCCATCATCAGTTTCCTGTTAATACAGACTCAGAAAGGCAGATAGTGGAGAAACAAATCTTCCATCCACTGGTTCACTCCCTAAGTGGCCACAGTGGCCAGAGCTGAGCTGACAAGGAGCCAGGAGCCTCTTCTGGGTTTCCACATGAGTGCAGGGTCCCAGGACTTTGGGCTGTCCTGGACTGCTTTCCCAGGCCACAAACAGGGAGCGGAAGGAGGTGGAGCAGCCAGGACATGAACCAACACCCAATATGGGCTACAGGTGCTGGTAGGAGAGGATTAGCCAATTGAGCCATTGCATCAGGCCCTAAACACCAGTTTTTAATAACTAAACCATAACCACACAGTTTGCTACTGAGTGGGAGAACCACCTTTTTAAATAAGTGAGGTGCTGACTATTACATCATGTAGTGGTCTTGGTTCCTGAAGGACAGGAGGTAACATGAGGTAATGCTCCAGCACCAGGGCTTAAAAAAAAAAAAAAAAAAGCAGAGATTGGTGTTGACAAGCCAGAAGCCTGTGCTTGCAGCAGACTCCCCGCAGCTCTAGCTCCCTGCCAACACATCTGGGAAATGGAAGGCGGTCCAAGTGCTGCACTGCCACCTACAGACACTCCAAGGGGAGTTCTCAGCCCAGTCCTGGATGCTGCAGCTCCTTGGGGGAGTGAACCAAGGCAGATCTGTGGCTCGGCCTGGTGGTGGAGACGCTGAGAAGGACGTCCCTGCTCCTAGAGTTAGGAGTTAGGCACTTGGGTCAATTCCCTGTCCAGCTCCTGATTCCAGCTTCCTGCCAACACTGACCCCGGGGAGCAGATGGCTCAAACAGCTGAGTCCCTGTCACTCACAGGAAAGACCTGGATTGCAGTAACTGGGTTCCTGGCTGTTTCTGGCATTTGGAGTCAATCAGCAGATGAAAGCTATTGGTCTCAGTAAATTTTAAAACAATTGAAAAATATACAGCCCCTCAAGTCTGCTTTGGAGAACAGGTTTTTAACTCCAAAATATAATCCCATGAATACTCATTGAATCCTGGAATCACATTCAGCCTAATTTCATTCTCATCAGCCAAAGGCAGAAAAGAAACAGGGACAGTGCTGTGGCCTGCAGACAAAAAGGCATCACCAGCAGCGCTGACATCCCATATGGATGCCTTTTTGGGTCCTGGCTGCTCCATTTCCTACCCAGCTTCCTGTGAATGCAACTCTAGCTAAAGCAGCAGCAGATAGCCCAAGTGCCTGAGCCCCTGCAACCCCCTGGGAGATCCAGATGAAGCTCCTGGCTTCAAACAGGTCCAGCTCCAGCTGTGTAGCCATTTGGGGAGCGAACCAGCGGATGGAATCTCTGCCTTTCGAGTAAAAATAGAAAGGAAATGGAATATGAGGAAGAAAATGACTATGGTCGACATTTTGGCAATCACACAATTCAACAGTTTGAAGAAAAATATATCGATGGTAACCTGATAAGCCATAGTGTTTTATTTTCAATTGCCACAAAATAGTTTATAACAAGAGTCAAGTGTAATACAATTTTCTTTATTAAAAATAATTTACAGCATCAGTAACATATACACAAATGTCATCAACTGGACTCCGCTGCCAATGTATTTCTATACAATACTTAACATTATTAAACTCAAGACTGTTACACTGTTTTGTTGGCTTTAAATTACTTCGGTGAGATACATGGTCTTATCGCCACACAGTATGTGCAAAACTGATAGACATGGCGGCACTGTTACCCACCAGGGTAAAAAAACCCACTGCAATGCTAATGTCTGTCCCCTTCCCCTCACTTTCATCACACCAAGTCAGACTAAGATTGGGTCAACAGCCAGTATTCTAGTCTTCCAAGTCTCAAGGCAAAATGGAGGTGCCTTAACTCAATCCTAGACAAATGTCAGTTAAGTCACACGTCCTCTGGCAACACAGCATGGAGAAGGGGACACACTCCACCTTTCCACCCACCTGTGCGAACAGCTAGGTCACTCGGCTGAGGGTCTAGCTTTACCGGTTTACTTTCAGTCCAGCTGTAGTTTGACGCCAATGAAACAATGACGCAGCCTGATGGGTTTCTGACAGCTCTCATTCAAGTGCCAGTGGTGACAGACAGCTGGATGTAACTGTTATCTTGGAGACAGAGTTTCCAAGATGGCATTTCTAGGGGTTAATAATGGCAATTCCAGGTCTGGGTGTGGTAACTGAGTGGTAAAGTCCTCACCTTGCACATGCCAGGAACCCATATGGGCTCTGGTTTGTGTTCTGGCAGCCCTGTTTCCCATCCAGCTCCTGCTTGTGGTCTGGGAAAGCAGTCAAGGACGGCCCAAAGCCTTGGGACCCTGCACCTGCGTGGGAGACCCAGAAGAAGCTCCTGGCTCCTGGCTTCGGATCGGGTGTAGTTCCAGCCGTCGCGGCCACTTGGGCAGTGAATCTTCGGATGAAATATCTTCCTCTCTGTCTCTCCTTCTCTCTGCATATCTTTCAATAAAAATTAATAAATCTTAAAAAAAATGGCAATTCCAGGGGCAGGATGACATTTTCACTGATTTTGTTTCATAGGAGTAGCACAACTCAAATGTAAAAAAGGGCACTGGTATGTATGTGTTCTTCCCAAGACCAAAAATGCTGCAGTTGGTAATGACCTTTGAAATTGTACTTTAAGTTCACAACACTGATTTGTGTGTGTGTGCTGTCCTTATATTTCCTTTAACAATTATGGGTTTTTTCCCCTTAATTTTTGTAACATTAAATTAGCCAGGTACAATCAACAAAAGAGGTTAAGTAAAGCAATAAAAACCAGCAGATGCCTTTTTCTTCTTCTTCTTCTTTTTTTTTTTTTTTTTGGTAAACAAAGCATTTGGCTAGAGAAAGAATTATCAGGTATACACACTGGGGCCTACAGCAATGGCTCTCCCAATTGTAGACCACACTTACTAAACTTTTGGCTTCGACATATACAAGCAAGTGATTAAGGGAATTTTGCTTCTGTTCCTGAAATCTAAGATGTGCTTGCCTCGGCCCTGGACATCACCTTCACAGCTAGCTGGCACCACCTTCCTGCTGGCGATGCTACGCCTGTGCCTACAGACTATGGATCAAGTACACCTTCCAAATATAGACAACCCTTCCTCCCACACATCCACTTTGGAATGACCAGTTCGTCGAAGCATGTAACAGGCATTTTAACGTATAGCTTGTACATTCTCCACCCCTAACTCATGTTATCATGGAAATGAAACATACATGCACTGACAGATAACACAGTATATATGAAGAACAAAGTATGATTTCAAAGTACCAAAGAAAATACTTATGAACATTTTAAATAAAGAAGGGAAATTGTCTTGGTAAATTCTTACCCATCTTCCTGTTTAAATATATATTTGCAAAATATTTTCAAGATACCATGATTGATTTATGTGCAAAGTTCTCAGTGGTCTTTGTCCACTGATCTGGTAATTTCAGCATTTCGGCTTACAGTAATCCGTTACTCTGAGCTGTATGAGTTAATTCTGAACTGTAGCAACTTAACTAGGTTATATGCAAATCTTCATGTAAAAAACCTACTACAATCTTTTACATGCTAGGCTTAATTTCTTAATTTAAAAAGGCATACAGCCACCAAAAATTAATCACCCCAACATTTTAGCAGACAGCTGCTTGGCAGGGCCCGTGACAGAGTGGACAGAACGTGTACTGGGAATACATGGTACTCGGCTTTAACTGAAGTGTTTTATCCTTACGGTCAGCTTTCATTTTAACAGATACAAAATGAACTTAAATAATTAAGAAATAACATTAAAAAAAAAAAAAAGAAAGAATACTTAAAGATGCCTAGGGCTGGGCCCCATGTAATTTAGGGTGAATAATTTAAAAGTCTAGAGGAAGCCAGTGTAGAGCTTAATGACTAAATTTCTCTTCAGCAACTTAAAAGTGTGGAATTTTGGTACTGAATAAGGTTATAGGAACTTACAACATCAGATGAGGAGAGCAAAGTCATGGATTCAAATGACCAGCGTGCCCCATGAGGCTTGCCTGAGGCTCAGCCCAGCACACTCCTGGAATCTAAGGGCTGTGTCCCAGGAGGCATGCGCTGGCTGCTGCCGCCCAGCACCACACGCTCCGCTCAGCTTGGTGGGGACAGAGGATTGTGATGTGGGACAAGTTCATCCTTACAGACTGAGTCTACAGTCCAGCACAACGGTGAAAAAAGAATTATTATACTTCAAAGTCCACTTACAAATCATTTTCCAACTTCCATAGTCTGAGAGTCTAGCCTCTTGCTCTTCCCATCTGCTGGTCTTAAACCAACAAACAGTAGTACAGTTTCAGGTGCAAAGCTGCACAGACAGCTCCAGAGTTTACTCATACAGGGATCTTCAACAAGTTCAAATTCTGCCTTTATTTACAAATGGTTTGATCAAATACCTCCCCCCATACTTACAGGCTTCCACAACACACGCCACACGCCACACGTTGATTTTAGCAATGTTAATAGCACCATTCGTATATGATTTAAAATCAAGAAGATTTCATCTCAGTTACCACATTGATTCGTGATCGTTACATCCATGGACCAGAACACTGAGGGTCCAGGGACGATCTGCAGTTGCAGGCGGGGTCCCTGGCTCCATCCAGCACAAGGGCGCGACGGTCACTGGTCAGGAGTGGTCTCCCTGGCAAGCAGATACTAGGAGAATTTTCGTGCCACGAAGTTCAATAATCCTCCATGTCTGTACAAGGTGACTTCCACATCATTCTCAAATGAAGCAATCACGCTGAATACTTTACCAGAACTTGTCTTGAAAAAAGAAAATAAACATGAGTGGTAAAACCCTCAGTGTTCCTTGTGTTTTCACAGCCAATGACTAACACCTGCCACCTAACTTATCTGTCTTACCTGGTTCTAACTTCAGACACTCCGATTCCTGGGAACAGTTCTGCTACTCAAAAAAATTGAGATATTGAACTTAAGACCTTCACAGCTAAGTAAGAAAATGGGTGTTTCATTCCTGATCCTAAAGAACAAGTATTAGATGAAACAGAACAGGCCTTCAAGAGACTTAGATTTTGACTAATGGTCTGGGGATATTACGTTCGTGAAACTTATTCAGTTTACTCTAACTATTCAGTGCACAGTGTCTGCTTCTTTTTCCCTTGCTTAAGTCACCTCTAATCCTAAATGCTCAACTTGGTCTTCTGTTTGAAGTGAAGCGCATGCCGAGTTCAAATCACATCAACACAAGAAGAGCTGCAAAGTACAAACCAGAGTGCACACATGAAGTCAGAGTATTCTCCATGTCTGTAGGCTCTCTACTTCCCCGCAAGAACATGAACAGGAACCAGCGCTGTCTCACTCGGCCTAGACCTGACCGCTGGCCCTGACAGACATCTGCACATGACTTGCTGCAATCTGTCTTATTCACTTTATGACCACGCAGGCAAGTGATCAGAGACTTGAGAATTTGCACAATACCTTTATACTTAATGTAATCCCAGGAGACAGTTCTTCAGGAAAAGTTAAAGAAAATGTTTCTCTGCCGGAGATGCCTAAGGACTCTGCGTTTTCTCCTGGGAGAAACTGAAGTGGAATGATGCCAATTCCAATCAAATGATCTTTGTGTATCTTTTCATAACTTTCAGCTAAAACAGCTTTCACACCCTGTAAAAAGTGAATATTACCTCTAATCATTTTATTGGAAGATGATTTCTTGAGCATTCACAGAGGTTAGACTTGCTATGATCTTTCATGCCCCACACCAAGCTCAGTGTTGTATTCAGTATTTACAAAGACCTTACAGGTTACTTCTCTGCATCACAGGAGCTCCTCACAGGCATGACAAATGGGGCTTAGCCCCCAACACCTAACAGGAAGGCTCAGACCCAACAAAAGGCAGCCCTCAGCTGGGCTTGTAATCAGCTTTTCATGGCTAACGAGGAGACTAGCCAAAGCTCCCCACTCTAACAAACAAAAATGGGGGGATGCTGTTGTGGTACAGTAGGTTAAGATACTGGGATCTCACATGGGCACAGGATTAAGCCCCAGCTGCGTCATTTCCGATCCAGCTCTCTATAAATGTGCCTGAGAAAGCAGCAGAAGACGACCCAAGTGACTTCTGCATCTGTGTGGGAGACCCAGATGAAGGGCGCTGGGTCCTGGCTTCCACGCAGTTTCCAAGCGTCTGCAACCATTTGGGGGAATAAACCAGTGGATGAAGGATATGTCTCCCTTTCTCTCTGTAATCTTGCCTTTCAAATAATGAAAAAATGTTTAGAGTACAAGGAATCAGTATCTATCAGTATTTGTAACACTTATAATTAGTGTCTGAGAAATATTGGTAAATCTGGTTTACTTCTACAACTCCTCACAGTATCCACATCTGGAGGAAGCAACAGAATAGGGAAATTAAGAACGAGCTGTAGGGTGTGTCTGGGCAGCCTTCCTACAACTCCAGCTTCCAAGAGAAGCAGGTCATGTGACTGCCCTCTCAGCAGACTGCCTATTTGTTCTGCAATGAAGAAACAGTCTTGGGGCAACTGCTTTCCTGGCACACAGCCAGGCATCACCTCATCATCTCTGGGTAGTAGAGGGGAAAAAGTGAAAGTTGGCCTACTACCCCTGAGCCTCTTAGGCCCACATGGAGCAAACTGGAGATAGTAAGATGATCAGCCAATAAACAATCAATGGCTACAGTGGTTATTATAAAGCCATAGTTTAGAATAGAATCTGTTTTCCCTCTACCATATTGACTTTGCCACCTAAGAAAATGTTTAATCAAATGCAGATTTTAAAATGCAGCTAGATCAATATAAAATATTCTCTAAAACCAATCAGAAAAACCCATACCAATATAAGGGGTCTTAAAATAAAGTTCACAGAGTATGTGTGTTCAGAAGCTGTGCTTGGATTTCAAACTATTTGTGCCAAAAATAAAATTTTTTAATTCTATTTTCCTCAAACTTAATGACTTACTTTACAATCAGGTCCAAAAAACCATTAAAAACAAAACACTAAAACTCAAGTAGGCCAACTGGATTCTGACAGGATGTTTCTGACAAACACTCTTTGAAGCTGAAAAGCTAAGTGTTAAGAACCAATACCAGTAAGTAGGGTCCTTTGGCAGCCCAGTCCCTCGAGTTTCCAGAGCCGTATTTCTTTCCGGCTAATATGATCAGTGGGATGCCTTCCTTCTGGTACAGCTCTGCAGCTTCGAAGACATCCAGCTGTGGGTCAGACAAGCACAAACACCATGAGCACGCACTCTGACCCAGGCCCCCAGGTTCCGTGCTTGCGGTGCTGCCTTACCGTCTGTCCTGAAGGGAAATGGATGGTCTTGGGAGCTGGCTTCCCAATAAACTTGTTAAAAAGTTTGATATTTGCAAACGTGCCTCTTGTCATCACAGCATCATTGCCTCTGCGAGCTCCATACGAGTTGAATTCACGAGGGGTAAGGCTACAAGAAAATGCTCAAAGTCATTTTTCACTCCAAATATTTACATATATATATATGTAATATATATATATATACATATATATATACTGGTGAACTGCTAAAACTTATGCATATACCTTTTTCTTTTTTTTTTTTTAAACTGTGGAAAATTTCAAGAACAGAAGAAAAAATGGGGCCAATATGAAGGCTCAACTGCATTATACTCCACCTGCCACCTGCAAGTGCTGGGATCCCATATAGGTGCTGGTTCGTGTTCTAGCTTCTCCACTTTCCATCCAGCTCCCTGCTTGTGGCCTGGGAAGGCAGCAGAGGATGGCCCAAAGCCTTGGGACCCAAAAGAGGCTTTGGATTGCTTCAGCTCTGGCTATTGCAGCATGTGGGGAGAGAACTAGCAGATGAAGATCTTTCTCTGTTTCTCCTTCTCTGTAAATCTGCCTTTCCAATAAAAATAATTAGATCTATCTATGTTTAAAATGCACATATATATACCCCAAAATATGACTATCAATTCATGAATTCTGCTTCTTCCAATCTGTAAAAACATATAAATAAATAAATGAAATTTGAGTTGCTTCTCAATATGTTTTAAAGGTAACTAACTTTTGTCTTTTAGAATGATTATGAACTCATGGATTAAAACATATTCCTGGGCCCGGCGCGGTGGCGCAAGTGGTTAAAGGTCCTCGCCTAGCACGCCCGGGATCCCATATGGGCGCCGGTTCTAATCTCGGCAGCCCTGCTTCCCATCCAGCTCCCTGCCTGTGGCCTGGGAAAGCAGTCGAGGACGGCCCAAAGCTTTGGGACCCTGCACCCGCGTGGGAGACCCGGAAGAGGCTCCTGGCTTCGGATCGGCATAGTATTGGCCGTTGCGCTCACTTGGGGAGTGAATCATCGGACGGAAGATCTTCCTCTCTGTCTCTCCTCTCTGTATATCCGCCTTTCCAATGAAAAAATAATAAAAATAAATCTTTAAAAAAAAATTAAAAAAAACCATATTCCTATATTTTAAGCCATTTTAGTTATTACTCTCATCTATACTCATTATGTCCTATTTTTGAGCAGTGATGAATTAAAGGTAACCGAAATGGCTACCTTTAAAAAAGAAAGGTAACTTTAAAAAAAAAAAAATGAGAAAGGGCCTGGTGGCATAGCCTAGCAGCTAAAGTCCTCACCTTGAACATGCCAGGATCCCATATGGGCACCGGTTCTGATCCGGGCAGCTCCTATTCCCATCCAGCTCCCTGACTGTGGCCTGGGAAAGCAGTCGAGAATGGCCCAATGCTTTGGGACCCTGCACCCGTGTGGGAGACTTGGAGGAAGTTCCTGGCTCCTGGCTTTGGATCGGCACAGCACCGGCTGTTGCGGTCACTTGGGGAGTGAATCATCGGACAGAAGATCTTCCTCTCTACCTCTCCTCCTCTCTGTGTATCTAACTTTGCAATAAAAATACACAAATCTTTAAAAAAAAAAAAAAAAGACGGGAAAAGTTTTATTTTTAGAAATCACAGTTGATGATTATTTCATCTGTAGAAGTTACACTCCATCCAGTGCATGGGCCACTGCTCTGGGAGAAGAGCTGCTCTTAGCAAATTATTTATTTTTTATTTGAAAACAGAGTTAGAGAAAGAAAAACAGAAAGCTCTTTCATCTCTTGGTTCACTTCTCAAATGGCCTCCCTCAATGTCCAGACTTGAGCCAATCCAAAGTCAGGAGCCAGGAGCTTCTCTCAGGTCTCCCACAGGGGTACAGGAGCCCAAGGACTTGAGCCATGCTCTGCTGCTCCAGGACATGAAGAGGAATGGGAGGCGGAGCGTCTGGGGCACAACCCAGCACCCATATGGCATACTGATGCTCCAGGCAGAGGTTTAGCCCACTATGCTTGGACATCAGCCCTGAAAATCTTCTCCCAGAAGCCTCGCAACCTGAGACAACTCCCACACTTCTGGCTAGGGTGGAGGTTGCTGACGGTAGGGTGTACAGCACAGAGAGTTAAGCAACATCAGAGAATGGGTTAGAGTCCTGGCTGCTCTGCTTCTGGTCCAGCTCCCTGCTAACACACCTGGGAAAGCAGAAGATGGGTCAAGTACTTGGGCCTCTGCGACCCACCCATGTCAGTGACCTGCACAGCTGTAGAGAGACCCAGTAGACAAGAAGATCTGTGTCTTTCAAAAATAAGCAAAGCTTAAAGACAGAGAGAGAGCAATCACTGACCACCACAACATGGGTACTGGGGTACTCATTGCTAATGAGTCATAAGTATAGAAATGACTTTTTACAGTGAAAGACAGGGCTGAAAACAGAACCAACCCAGCAATTGCAACCACCAGCTAACTGGGGCGATGGACTGTGCCAGGCACTGTGCTTCTGTGCTTGCAAGTACACACAAGAATCTGATCTGGGATCACCTCAGACAAAGTTTCTTTGGGGATCTCCCCAGTCGTATTGCCGGACTCAGAACCCTAACCATGAAGAGAAGTGCAGGTTCCATGGTCTGCCATGGAGTGCAAGTGCTAGAGCCGAGCCTCCTCAAAGGCTCAGACAGAGCAGTGGAGAGCATAAACAGGTGCACATGGGAGAATATGGCAGTCCATTGGAACCTGCAGAGGACACCTGGCACCACAACAGAGGCCAGAACAAATCAATCATCTACCCCAGCCATGTGTTGGCAGTGAACACCTGGGCAAACGGAGATTCTAAGGTGGACTGTCAATCAGTGGATTCTGCAGCGACCTAATCATGCTTGGAATGGCGAGACTGGCAGTAATTCATAACTGTTGAACTACCAAAACCTCTTGAGCAGGCATGCCCCACATCAGGGACCCGAGATGGGTGGGAAACTGAGTGGGGCTTCTCCCTTTATCTCCCCCTTTACCCTAGACACAGGAAAAAAAATATGGAAATAATAGTCCACTTTCCTGCAGCCCTTGAACCTTTGTGCCCTAATTAACTATGTAAAGATTATTAAAAAAATATGACTTTTTAGGAACAATAAATAATTAAATTAATCTCAGCAATCAACAACCAATTTCATTTTAATTAGTTAATTGATAAGAAAAGTTAAGAGTTGAAGAGGTGGATGGGCCCGGCACAGTGGCCTAGTGGCTAAAGTCCTTGCCTTGTACACATTGGGATCCCATGTCGGCACTGGTTCTAATCCTGGCAGCCCTGCTTCCCATCCAGCTCCCTGCTTGTGGCCTGGGAAAGCAGTCGAGGGTGGCCCAAAGCCTTGGGACCCTGCACCCGTGTGGGAGACCCAGAAGAGGCTCCTGACCTCAGGTCAGCTAAGCTCTGGCCATTGTGGTCACTTGGGGAGTGAATCATCAGATGGAAGATCGTCCTTCCTCTCTGTCTCTCCTCCTCTCTATATAATCTGACTTTGCAATAAAAATAAATAAATCTTAAATAAAAAAAGAGTGAAAGAGGCAGAAGACATAGATTTTTCAATTTGCTGCTTTACTCTGCAAAGGGATGCATCAGTTGACAGTGTGTCAGGCTCAAGCCAGGAGCCTGGAATCCCACTGGGGTTCCCTATCTGGCCCACGCATTCAGGCTGACTTCTGCAGATTTCCTGGGTGCATCAGCAGCAAGTAGCTTGGACTTGAGTTGGTGCCAGTGGCACAGGAGGGAGCTAAACCCTTCGGGCCACATGCTAATCTCAACAACCAACTCTCACCAGCTTCTAATTTGGTCTTTCATGCACAGGCAACAATACTCGAAAGGTATATATGTAAATTTCTTACTTCAAGACCATAATGGTCAGGAGTTTAAGCATCTTTATTTTTAGAAAATTCAAACCAACAAGAATGACTGGATTAAATGTACCAAGAAATTCAAATCAAAAACTATAAAATAATATATATATTTGAAAATCCTAAGGAGAGAAATGGTGACTAGCTTTTTTTAATGGAAACATAATTATCACCAATATTGAAATCAAAACCAAAAAATGAGAACATTTATTTTATTTCTTACCACTCTGATAAAAGTTATGCAATATTATTTCTTGTCAATTCAAGTCACATAGCCCTGACAAGATATTTCAATGACAAATTTGCCATCTGAATTGCTCAGGCTTAAAAAGCATTAATCAATAAGCATTTAATAGTTAGTCAGGTATTAGCGCTGAGATTTCTGCTTTTTAACAAAACTTTGTTTCTGGTGTCAAAACAATTCTTCAATAACAGAGCAACTCTACATTGATTAATCATGGGGAAATTTAAGTCTCCAGCACGTTGGGTTTCTAATCTCCTACACAAAAAGCCCCTTACATTTGTGTTTATTGTTAAATGCAGACTGTTAAGCAGTAATTCACTAGCCTCGTATTAAGCACATGTTATAACCTATATAATCCCCCTCACTGCATTCCTATAAAAGGAAGCTGGCTGTTTTCCAATGGGCTGTTAACACTCTCAGGTCTCCATCTAAAGCAGCATTTCTGATTCCTACAGTGACAGGCAGAGCCCATTGCAGGAGATGCTCCTCCGTGTTCCTGCTACAAGCACATGACCACCAGACAGGGGACAGGACCAGGAGAAGCTTCTTTACCAGCAAGACAGCAACCCACCAGAGCTGCGGGACCTACCCTCTATGTGTCAAGTACTTGGCGGCAGCACTACTCCGAGCGATGCTCCCCGCAGGCGAGATGTGATCGGTGGTGACCGCATCCCCCAGGTGCAGCAAGACGTGGGCGTTCTCAATGGGCTGCAGTGCAACTGGCTCTTTGGTCTAAAAGGTACAAGTCCAAGGCACTGAGCTCTTCACAAGGACTTTGGGCTTATAACAACATTCTTTAAAGAGCAAAACAGTACTCACAAGCTTATCAAAAAATGTAGGGCATCTGATATAAGTGGACTTTAAGTCCCATGGAAACAAAACTGACTCAGGCGCTTCTAGGGAATTCCATCGTTTATTTCCAATCTGTGATGATAGGTAAAAGAAAGACAAAAGCAATCAGAAGGTATTTAAGATGTCTATATCAAAACCAAAAACTGCATTTATGTACATATACAAAAACATTCCTGGGTATCAGCACTATGGCATAGGAAGTAAAGTTACTGCTTGTGACTCCAGCTTCCTTTACGGGCATTGGCTTGTGTCTCAGTTGCTCCATCTTCAATCCAGCTCTCTACTAATGGCCTAGCAAAAGCAGCTGAAGATGGGCCAAGTGCATGGGCCCTTGCCACCTATGTGGGAGATGAGGATGAGGCTTCTGGCTTAGGCCTGACTGAGCCCTGGCTATTTAACCACTTGGGGAATGAACCAGATGATGATCTCTCTTTCCTCCTCACTTTGTGAAACTCTTTCAAAGCAGTCAATCAATCACTCTTAAAAAACCAAAGCAAACAAAGAAATGAAACCATTTCTGGAGAGGAGGCATTTAGCATGATGGTGAAGAGGTCATCTGGCAGACCGGAGGCCCACCTGAAGTGCCTGGGTGCGGGCCTGGCTCCTACTAAGGAGCACTCTGGGAGGCAACAGATGGCCGTTTGGTAGCTGGAGCCCTGTCACCCACACGGCAGGACTGGACGAAGCCGCAGCTCTAGCTGCTCTAAGGCATGTGGAGAGAACCAACAGAGGGGGGTTGTTTCTCTCCGCATTTCAAATCAATCAATCGATACTTGTAAAAGTCTCTGAAAATAAGTTTAAATGGCTAGGGAACCGGTTAGAGTGCAATTTAAAAAAAAAGTTACTTGAAAGGCAGAAGGATCGAGAGATCTGGCATCTACTGGAGCACTCTCCAAATGTCCCTAACAGCAGGACTCGTGAGTCTGGGGCTGTAGCCTGGAGCCCACTGACCTGAGCCATCACACAGGGACTCCCAATGTTTCCCAGGAGGCTCCCGGGCATCTTTCTGAAGCAGCTGAATGCACGGAGAAGCAAGGACCATTTCTGTGAAGCGCACCTGCATTCAGGCTGCCAGACGCTGGACTGAACTTACGCAGTACTAAGTATTACATAGATGCCATACAGTTTCAGTAAACAAACAAATTCTAAAACTCCAAGCTGATTTTTTTCTTTATAATCAGTGATTCCAGATGTAAAATGACTACTGCAAAAACCAGGGACTATAAGCAGTATCATTTTTACTATATTCAGAAAGCAAGTTGCAGAAAAGAACACTATTCATGAAACAAACGTGTCCCTTACCTCCATCTTTTCCTTTAGTGTTTTGAACATGGTTGAAATAACATGTCCTTCCTCAATCTGATGCACTTCTTCTCGAGTAGGCCAAATATCACACAGGTAAACATTCTTGCCAGTGGGGTCAGTCCCTGATGGAAAGAGTTTAACATAGTCACTGTGAAAAACAACCCCTCACACTGTTCATACCTTTTTAAAGACACAGCATAGAAATCAAGTAAATCTTATTCACTCTCCTGCAGCCCTTGAACTTTTTTACCCTAATTAGCTATGTAAAGACTGTTAAAATATAGTAACAATAAAAACAAAAACAAAAAAGAAATCAAGTAAATCATTCAACAGGCCGTTTAAGCAGTTGAAAGAATTATTACATTAAAAAATTATTCTTATAAATACAGAAATTACTATGTAATACCTACCACAAAATTTTTTTTTCTAAAATAAATTATAAAGTGGATGGTGGTCCAAGAAGCATTTCAAAAATGCTATAATTTTTATGAAAAAAGGTATGTACAGATATATACATATAATAGGAAAGATACCTAAAGGCTCCGTCAGGAAATCTATATTCACTGTGCCCGCTATGGCGTAAGCCACCACTAAGGGCGGAGAGGCAAGATAATTGGCACGAACACAATCACAAAGACGACCTTCAAAATTTTTGTTTCCAGATAAAATTCCACAAGTAACCAAATCACCCTGAAAAAAAAAAGACAAAACAAACATATACATATAAATATATTCAAATAATGGAACAAATCTGCATCATCACACAAACGCAATCTCAAACATCACAGCATTGAAGGCAAGACAATGAAACAACCCAGCAATGAAGTTCAGGCACACAATTATCAATCCTTCAGGGTAAGTAACCATGCCATTATTAAAAAAGCATTTCTAAGCTCTAGAAATGATGTGCTGAATCACTGTCATTCTCACTGGTTCTTCCTCCGAGGTACAAAGACTACAGAATTAAATGTAACAGCATGTATTTTCTAGGCTTCAATAAGAGAATGTAGTGAAGAAAACCCACTGCTAAATCTCACCAATCAATACATCTTACCTGTCTTACTGCACTTAGAACAGCTTCTGATAAGGGTGCTGTGTTCCCCACACATGTTGAACATCCATAGCCAACTATTTCAAACCTGTATTTCAGAAAACAAACGTGATTGGATAGCATATCAGTTTGTAAAGAAAAGTACAAGCTTAAGCTCTCACTTCTACACCTGCAAAGAAATCTCCCAGCACACATAACCCACCCTTCACCTGTTTCACTGTGTCCAGCCCAGCCATTTCTGCCATCTAGGGAGTGAACCAGCAAATAGAACATCTCTTTCTCTCCCTGTCTCACCCTTTCTGTGTAACTCCACCTTTCAAATAAACCTTAAATTAAAAAAAAAAAAAGTACTACATCACTACTACAGCAGTTGCAGTAGTGTGTGTTCACTTGTTAAGCTCCTGAAGGGAGATATTAGGCCTCCCACCTTGCAGCACCCAACACACAATCTCTCGTTCAACAGATACGTCTGATCAGTGCTGGCTGAGCAACAACTACAGCACGCATGTTCTGCCTTCTCCTTTTACATGAAAGGCTGTAAGTAAGAGGTGGCTGCTCCAGCACCTGCTGAGTTCCAACACCAGTACCCACAGTGGTGACTGCTACTTACCCAAGCCTACTGAGATATGGTAACACGCCACTTGAACTGAGGTAATGTGTAACCATCCCACTGCCCGGAGACAAGCTTGTTCTTATGTAAGGTTTAACTCGAAGACCAGCTTCAACAGCCTTTTTAGCCAAAAGACCTGTACAGTCAACAAGCAATGACACGTGAGGCCGGCACACCGCTCCCTCTTTCATTCACATTACAGCAGGAAGCAAGCAAGGGAGTCTTTAACAGATTAGCTCAGAGTAGAGTGAGACTCCACATCATACATTTACTACCATCATTTTGTTCATGTTTTATTCTATCAGTCTGCATCCTTCAAAACAAATTTCAAAACTGCAGCAGATACAGAAGCCCCCATGTTGTAAGTTATTAAGGTACAGGACAAAACCATGGCATCAAGAAAACAGAAAAATGTGCATGGAGAAAGGGAACACAGAAAAATCATGGAAGATGGAAGAGGTTTTCTCTGGCACAAAGAGAAACTTTCTCGCGTTTTCCGCAAACTTTCTGAAGATCTCTGTAACTGATGTCATTATCTGAACCATTTTTATATGCTACAATCATAACGCGGGACAATTTAACATTTACTAATGGTTTATATCATTAACAAATTTCTCCAATGTTTATATAATTTGATTTCATTTACAACCCTTATCAACAATCTTTATAATCTGGTAAGATTCCTTAGAAAGTCTCTCAAAATCAAACACAGACAATGATTCAGGTACAATATAAAAAGCAAAGCAAACATAATAAAAACAGGAGGGGCCAGTACTGTGGCTTAGGAAGTTAAGCAACCTCCTTCAATGCTCGCATCCCATACTGTGGCATGGGCTCAAGTCCCAGCTGCTCTGCTTCCAATCCATGTCTCTACTAGCATGCTGAGAAAGCAGAGGAAGATGCATCAAGTACTCATGGGTCCCCTCCACCCATGTGGGAGACCTGGATGGAGGCCTGGGCTCCTGGTTCTCCAGTTACTGTGGTCAATGAATTATCTGTCTCTCCCTTTCTGTTACACTGCCAAACAAATAAATGAAATATACATCCTCAATAAAAAAAAAAGGAGAGATAAAATCAGCCAAGTACCACCTACCTGCAGTGAGCATGACAGAAGGGTTGCAATTATTGGTGCAGCTAATCACTGCGGCAATGACCACGGACCCGTGAGATAATTCATATTCACTTCCTTCATAATGGAGAGAGACAGTATCCTTCTGTCTTTCAGCTGCTATTTGGAAGCCTTTAAATCCAACCTATGCAAATTTGCACATAAATAAAAACTAACGATTATGGGTATGTAGAAAAAGGACACTAGCAGCAAACTTGGCAGACTCAATGCCAGGTGATTTGACAAGAGTTCTGACGATGTGTGAGGGAGGCTGATGGGGCTTCACTTTAGTTGCGCTGGCAACTGTCACAATAGGAGGTCCGGTGTGCTCACAAGCAAGACGTCATCTAGGGAGGGAATCCAGCCAGCTAACCAACATCCAGAATTTATTTGGCTGTTGTACCATGTTTACACCTGAGCGCAAGAAATGGTGCCAGCCTTCACTTAGTTAAAAAATGTCCAGAAGCTACTTTCCAAAATGTTCCAAAGTATGTGAGTCAAGAACCAACAGGCTTGACTGTAAATTGGTGAACTGCTGACATGAGGTCACGGGCACACATTTTCCAAACAAAAAGTCAGGAAATCATTAAAAAGCTCTACAAAGAAAGCCTATTACTAGCTATCAGATGGAAGCCGTGATTCTCAGAATATACAAGCCCACAAACTCAAGCCACTTGTCTTTACTCCATTTTCCCAGATTTTGTTAGAACAGTTACAGAGTGGTGGATTTCTCCAGGCCTGAGAGGTCGCGAAGTGCAGAGCAAAGCTCAGTGATGACATAAGCATGCTCTATCTGTGCTAAACAAATGCGCAAAAAAGCAGAATTCAAAGTACAAGCTTGTTTTGGTGCAAAAATTCTTCTTTCACAAGATGCTTGTGAAATGTGCATTATGAAAAAACCACACAAAGTCTTAAATACACCTAAACTTTTAACTGTATTTTCCCACAAATACTGAATATGTATATAGCTTATCCAGCTTATCCAAAGGAGGCTATTGTGACAAATTCAACTTTAAGCTGTATTTAATTAACTTAAGTTTGAATTTAAATGGGCATAATCAACTCTGCTCCCAATAGTGGGATCAAAACTGACTTGCATGTTAGATGGAAGGAGTAAATGGGAGGCTGCTGATGTGCGCAATTCTATATAAACATATAGCTGGGCACTGGGTGAACATGAAACTTTGCCGGTTCTTTACTATTGAGCACACAGGCAGGTGACAGCAAAAGTAACTGACCTTTTCATTTAAGCAAGCCTGGAAGTCACTTTTCATGTCTGCCACAGCAACTCTATCCTGAGGCCTTTTTGGACCACTGACAGACGCAACTATTGAATTCAGGTTGATCTGGATGACCTGGGAAACAATGAAGAGAAAGAATTACAATTCCTAAAGCACAGATTCCAATTCTAGTATTACTTTCTAGAGAATCAGTGCATGCACATTTCTTAACACTGAATTGATTTAATAGTAAAACACAACCCACAGAGATAAAAATCTAAAAAGCAATCCATTTAAATTTGTGAAATTTATAAACATTTCCTGGCGGCAAGGTTAGCCAAACAGTAGGCAATCAAACTACCACAACACTAACTGATTTAGCTGTAAAAAACATATGGATCCCATGTCCTCTCCATATAAACTTGTTGTAACACTGCCTGCTGACAGCACAGATGCCAGCACCAACAACCAAGTCACTGTCTGAGCTCCAAACGCCCCCTTGGCTGGCTCTGCTGACTGAGGAAATTAATATCAAGTTTTTCTCCCGAGAAGCCTGATCAACAGAGGGTGCTACAGCCTCACAGCAGAGGAAGGTCCCAGATGGTCTCGCTGCCTAGGCTTTTATTCTTTGTTAAGAAATCATATACTGGGCCTGGCATGATAGCTTAGTGATTAAATCCTTGTCTTGCAGGCACTGGGATTCCATATGAGTGCTGGTTCATATTCCAGCTGCTCCACTTCCCTTCCAGCTGTTTGTGGCCTGGGAAAGCAGTGGAGGACAGCCCAAAGCCTTGGGACCCTGCATTCACATAGGAGACCCAGAAGAAGCTCCTGGCTTCAGATTCCAGCTGTTGTGAAGTGAACCAGCAGGTGCAAGATTTTTCTCTCTCCTTTTCTCTGTGTATCTGCCTTTCCAATAAATAGTAATATAATAAATATATATTTTTTTAAAGAGAAGAAATCATATTCTTGGGGTCAGTGCGTAGCAAAGTAGCTTAAGATTCCAGCTGCAGCACTGGCATTCCGAGTACCAGTTGCTCAAACCTGCAAATGTGCTTGGGAAAGCAGTGAGGGTGGCCAAAGTGCTTGGGCCTCTATACCCACATGGAAAGCCAGGAGGAACAGCCAGTCACTGTAACTCAGCCTTTCAAACTAATGAATAAATCTCAAACACAAAACAACAAAAGAATTACCTCCTCTCTGTAATTTTGCCTTTCAAATATAACCAACCTTTTCAAAAATACCAAGAGAGACCAGAATATGTGTTACCAAATTCATTGTAACAGAAACCTAGGTAAAATCAATGAACAAAATCAAAGTACTGAGTCACAAAAGCTTTTAAAAAACAATTACCACTTATTAACTTATTTTATGCCTGTGACAATTCTGTGAATTTGTATTCAGTCTAAGAACCCTAAGTTGCAGGGATGATCATATTTTAGAGATGAGGAAACTGAAGCGGAAAGAGTAAATAAATTACCCCAGGTTAAGACAGCTAGCAAGTCAGAAAGCTGGGACTCAAAGCAGAATGGGTTTCCTTACTTAGCAGTAGGTGGATGATCTGTCCATACCTGGGAGTAGTCAGGTCCTCCAGCATCCTGGTCAGTTCTAAACAATTTCACAGCTTTAAGGTATGATTCCATTGACTTGAGTTTGGCTTTGTCAAAACCTAAAGGATGAACAAGAGCAACAGCATCTGTTAAGGAATTCTGAAATGCAGCAATGGGCGTAGCTCATCTGTTTCACACCCCTCAGGTGAGAAGGCCAGACCTCGGAGTGACACCATGTGCAAGTGTGTGGTTGTTGGCTCTGAGTCCCAGCTCACAGTGACCTGTGAAATGAACAAGTGAACAAGATTCCAGGCCCTCACTATCAGATCTTCAAAGCTGAGACTCAAGAGGCCATGAAGTAGAAGATGTCCCCACTGCTCTGTCTGACTGACTGACCACTGAAACCAGGAGGCTGTGTGGGATCACTGCTGTTTTAAGCCACTAAGCTTTAGGAAACTTTCTAACATAGTAGCAGATCACTAATAATCAAACTGATGCCTAAATAATAAAGTGCCTCTAACCATTTCTCCCCTGAATCCCTTGGCAACCAAAGTCCAGACACAATGAAGTTTCCAATTTGATGAGAACACCCCACCCAGTTTCCATACTGTCATCCATTTTGTGTCTCACTAATTTATCTTAATCTGCACCCAAGCTGAAGAGTATGGAATACATTCCCCAATTATATCTAAGATGAATAGCCTAGCACTAACCTCCTCACATAATGATGGGTAGAGGAAAAAAGAGATTAAAGAACAGTGGCCTTATACGATACCAATACCTTCCGGCTTCACAGTTACTGTCAATTTTAAATGAAACAATCAACAGGGGCCAAGACAGGCTAAGCTGCTGCAGTGATACTGACGTCCCATGGGGATGGCAGTTTTGAGATGCAGCTACTCCATTTCCCATACAGTTTTCTTTTTTTTAAAAAGATTTATTTTTTTTATTTTTATTGGAAAGGCAGATATACAGAGAGGAGAGACAGAGAGGAAGATCTTCCGTCCGATAATTCACTCCCCAAGTGAGCGCAATGGTCGATACTATGCCGATCCGAAGCCAGGAGCCTCTTCTGGGTCTCCCACGCGGGTGCAGGGTCCCAAAGCTTTGGGCCGTCCTCAACTGCTTTCCCGGGCCACAGGCAGGGAGCTGGATGGGAAGCAGGGCTGCCAGGATAGAACCGGCGCCCATCCCATAGTTTTCTGATAACACATCTGGGAATGCAGCAGAGAATGGTCCAAATACTAGGACCCCTGTCACCGACGTGGGAAATCCAGATGCAGCTCCACGCCCCGGCCTTGGCCTGACCCAGCCCCGGTCATTGCAGTCACTAGGGAGTGAATCAGTAGATGGGTGTTTTCTCTGCCCTTCCAATAACTAAAACAGGGCCAGCTTTGTGGATAGGGCAGCTACCTGTGACATGGGATCACATACTGGAGTGTGGCTCCAGGCCTCGTTGCTAGGCTTCAGATCCTGTTCCTTGCTGATGTCCCTAGGATGCAGCAGAGATGGTGCAAACTTTGGATCCCTGCCCCCTCTGGGAACCTAGAGGGATCCCAGCTTCTGCCTATCCCAGTCATAAGTGTTGCAGTCACTTTGGAGAGAAAAAATGCAAGATCTTTCTATCTCTGCCTCTGTCACCCCTACAAAGAAATAAAAAAATATATCTTTAAAAAGATAAATAAAGCTTAAAGAGTCAGTATTAACAGCAAAGATCCTAATTAGATTATAAAAATACTGGTGCGATAGCCTAGCAGCTAAAGCCTTGTACTTGTCAGGATCCCATATGGGCACGGGTTCTCATCGCAGCTGCTTCACTTCCCATCCAGCTCCCTGCTTGTGGCCTGGGAAAGCTGCAGAGGATGGCCCAAAGCCTTGGGACCCTGCACCCATGTGGGAGACCCGGAAGAGGCTCTAAGCTCCTGGCTTTAGATCAGCTCAGTTCTAGCCGTTCTGGTTACTTGAGAAGTGAACCAACAGACAAAAGATATTCCTGTCTTTCCTTTTCTTGGTATGTCTGACTTTCCAATAATAAATAAATAAATATTTTAAAAAATACTTGCAACCCTGACTACTTTTCAAACTTGCTATCTAGAAAGGGCACTCACTGCAGGCTTCAGGGCTGCTTTGCCCCTGGTACAGAGAGGACAGCTGTGAATGTGCAAGAGGCTGATTGAGCAAGATGCAACCTGTGCGCCCTGGGCACAGCGACGGGAGACGGGGAGGTGAGGGCCAGTAGGGCGAGTCAGCCCTTCACATCGCTGTCAGCAGTCACAGCAGACCAGATTTTGAGGACACACTCTTCAGAGAACCCCTATGCAGTCTGAGCCACTATGTCAAAATAGGACAAGGTCATGAATATTAAACAACACAGCCAAGGCAGTGATCTGTAAAATATTGCCAGACACATTTTAGTCCAATGGTCACATATCTTCTTACCTGTGTGTTCTAAATGTTCTAATGTCACATTGTCAACGGGAAAGAAGCTGAGGATAGCACCATATTCTGGACACATGTTCGCTATTGTAGTTCGATCAGCAATAGACAACTGTGAAACTCCACTTCCAAAAAACTCAACAAACTTCCCAGAGACTCCTGCTTGCCTGAGGTGCTAAATAAAGGAGGAATACACAGATATATGCACAAAACTGCAATGAAAGATTAGCACGGATTCCCTGGAAAGTATGAAATCAAATTTTTACATCAATATCTGCAACAATGAAGGAGTGAGGTCTTCCACTGATCATAGGAAATATCAACTCACACTGGTTTTGCAATTCTTATAAGTCCCTACACAGTAGCCAACGAAGTTTATACTGCAGTACCCCTATGAACTTGGCACGCCTTAGATACCTCTGGCTTTTTTTTAGCAGGCAGTCCTTTTCCTCCCTACATAAATGAAAACAGGGCTTTCACCACTGAAAACATCTCAGATTTAACAGAATGCTAACATGGCAATGAGTTGTATAGTTAAATAAAAACGATATACCAGCCACAAAAATGCTCCAAATTACAGCTACCAGCTCAAATGCTTGCAATGTTATTAATCACAGATAAGTTCAACTGTGATAGGATTTAATGCAATATATGGCTTCAAACTTAATTTCTCCTCTAAAAGATTTTTTCTTCAACTTAGCACTTTAAAAAAAAAAAAAACAAATTATTTTCACTGGGAAGGCATATTTACAGAGAGAAGAGAGAAAGAAAGATCTTCCATTGCTGGTTCACTCCCTAAATGTCCACAATGGCCAAAGCTGCGCCGATCTGAAGCCAGGAGCACCAGGAGGTTTTTCCTGGTCTCCCATGCAGGTGCAGGGTCCCAAGTACCTGGGCCATCCTCCTCTGCCGCTTTCCCAGGTCATAAGCAGGCAGCTGGATAAGAAGTATAGCAGCCAGATTACGAACTGGTGCCAATATGGGATTCTGACTCTTGAAACGGAAGGATTAGCCAACTGGGCCACTGTGTCGGACCCTCAAAAATTTTAAAAAATTTCTATTTATTTTGCTTAAAAGGCTGAGACAGAGAGGTGTGGGTTCTGTCACAGGTTAAATTTATGCTTTGGACAACCACATTCCATGTCCTAGGTGCTGGAGTTCAAGTTCTTAGGTCCCTGCTCCCTTCCTGGGTGATCTGGATGAAATGCTGGGCTCCTGCCCTAGGCTTAGCCTACACCCAGCTGCAGTAGGCAGGTAGGGAATCAATCAGCAGATGGAGGATCTCTCTCTGACCCTGTTTCTTTCAAATAAACAAAAACAAAACACTCAGGACTCACAGGTGGGCAGCACGGCCCCACGTACATAAGCTATCACCAGCTTCCTCCTGCTACAACTGAAAATGGAGGTTAGCCTTAAACCCAGGCACTCTGATAAAAGCTCTGGGTGTTTCAGGCAGCATCTTAATGAGTAGCTCAAACACCTGCCCCTAAAATAATTTTTCTTAATTACTACCAAGAACAGCTACACTTCTTTCCTAAACTGTAAAACTGTCTGATTGGTACAGGAAGAGCCCGGCCCAAAGGAACCGCCAACCCCTGCCTAAGGCCCACCCCAGCATTGCAGAGGTGCGAAGGACCACTCAATCATTTCCCTAGGCCACACACCCCAGACAGGCAAGCAGCAGCAGCACCAGGGGCTGAGGAGGAGGCATTAGTGGTCTCTCACTCCGTGGACAACCCCGAGAGCCTCTAGATGGAACCTACTAAAAATGCTGAGGCACTAGGCTCCACGCGGGAATTACACAGGGCACATTTTTAGTGTTTTTTAAAAGGGTCTTCAAAGATTAGTTCTTTACATTTCACTGAAAAGGCAGAGAGACCATGCCCATCGCTCTTTTACTCCTCCAATACCCTCAACATCAGCAGCAGCCTGGATGGGAAGCAGGACCAGGACTCACCAGGGATGCAGACACCCCAAGCACTACCTTAACCACTGAACCTACCAACCAGGTGCCTACCCAACCCAAGCACTAAATAAAATCAGTGGGAATCAGAAGTTGAGAGTGGTGACCACGAATTGATCACTAAGTAATTTACGGGTAAATGTTAAAAGCACAGCCAGGATTTTTCAAATCTATATGAAAGCTATGAAAGCAGCCAATAGAAACATTTATACCATTACATCTACTATCTGCATTTTTGAAAATATTACCCAATAATGTTACAGTAAATGGAGATACAATCAAACTTTTATCACATATGGTATTTCTAAATTCCATGCAGTCAGAAGGTAACAGGCAATGACGTGATGGTAACCCTCCAGACTCAAGCACCTGACCTGCAGGGCTTACAAATCTTGTTTAACCACTTACGATTCAGCCCTATGACCCCTTGCTAAGTCTTTAAACTTCAGCTTTCTCAGGATTAAATGCTGACTCTATCAGTATCTATTCTCACAGGCTTTTAATGAGCAAATAAATTAACAAGTTAAGTGAACAATGACAAATTATTACACATCTTTGCTATTATTGCTGTGATGATAATTATATCACTAATGTGACAGTCCCAAGGAGGGATGAATGAATCAAAATCTCTAATCCCAAATATGAAATTGCTGTGCACTAAGTCACACAGATACAACAACTTAAACTTACCTTTGTAATGCCAAGAACAACATCAATGGATGTAACAAAGGGGTTGGACGACCCAGTCAGCTCACATCCAACCACCTCTGGTAAAGTAAGAGAAACGGGCAGGCCGAGCATCACAGCTTCCGTCTCAATGCCGCCAACCCCTAAAGGAACAAGGACAGGTAGGCCAGCAAAGCACACAGGCAATTTGTCTCAAGGTGTTTCATAAGCTCATCCTATACATAGATCTGCTACTTGTTATTGCTGTAGACACCAAAACTAGCCCTTCTCAAAGAACTACCTCATTTACATGGTACATTTAATCAGCATTAATTGAGCATTATGTTGGGCACGAAATGGTACTAAAACACAAGTATGAATACAGCTTAGCCTCTAACAACCTCAAGAAGTTCAACAGGGCCCAGTGTTATAGTCTAGTAGCTTAAGTTCTCCCCTTGCAACCGCCAGGATCCCATATAGGCAGCGGTTTGTATCCCAGCTGTTTCACTTCCCTTCTATCTCCCTGCTCGTGCCCTGGGAAAGCAGCTGAGAACAACTATACACCCATGTGGGAGACCCAGAAGAAGCTCCTGCTTCTGGCTTCAGATCGGCTTAACTCCAGCCGTTGTGGTCACACAGAGTGAACCAGAGGATAGAATATCCTTTTCTATGTCTCTGCTTCTCTCCGTAAATCTGACTTTTAAATTAAAAATAAATAAATCCAAAAAAGGAGAGAAAAGTTCAATAAAGAAAAGGGAATGGGGCTGGTACCAGGACATAGTAGATTAAGCCTCCACTTGTGGCACTGATATCTCATAGGACACCAGTTTGAGTCCTGGCTGGTCCACTTCAAATGCAGCTAGCTGCTTATGTGCCTGGAAAAGCAGCAGAGGATGGACCAAGTGCTTGGGTCTCTGTACCCACTTGGGAGACCCAGAAGAAGCTCCTGGCTTTGGACCAACTCAGCTCTTGCCACTGCAGCTATTTGAGGAGTGAACCAGTGGATGAAGATCTTTCCCTGCCTCTCCTTCTCTTTGTAAATCTGCCTTTCAAAGCAAAAATATAAGTAAATCTTAAAAAAAAAAATAAATAAATAAAAGATTCTATTTTTGGTGTTGCCACGATGATGGATGAAAACCTGAGTCCCCAAGAAGCTCTGGTCCCACAAGCTATGTTTCTGACAGACTTACCCCAGCCTAGAATCCCCAAACCATTCCCCATGGTTATGTGAGAGTCCGTGCCCACCACACTGTCCGGGAAGAGGAGGTTCTTTTCTTCAGAAACTACTCTTGACAAATACTCCAAGTTTACTTGATGAGCCATTCCAGTTCCAGGAGGGATTACGGCCACATTTTTGAAAACTCGTGAACTCCACTATATTTTGTTTAAAGAAAAACAAGTGTTAGTATTACAATATGATTGTATTCACAACTGAAACATAAACACTGACACCTAGAAACAACAAGTGCTGGGCCCAGCCCAGCTTACACGCACCAGGATCCCACATAGGCACTGGTTCACATCCCAGCTGGTCCACCTCCCTTCCAGCTCCCTGCTTATGGCCTGGGAAAGTAGTTAAGGATGGCCCAAGTCCTTGGGACCCTGCACCTGTGTGAACCAGAAAAAGCTCCTGGCTTTGGATCTAACTGGATCAGATCAGATCAGCTCCGGCCATTGCAGCTACTTGGGGAGCGAACCAGCAGATGGAAGATCTTTCTGTCCTTCTCCCTCTGTATATTTGAGTTTCCAATTAAAATAAATAAATCTTACCAAAAACAAAGTGCCCAATATAGTCAGTTCCCAGTTTACAGTACATCCTTAGAAACAAATATGCAGATATTGAACATAACATATTTGTTATCCAAGTAATTAAAATAAAGCCAGATTGGATCAAAGAGATGTCCAAATAGTTCTGGTAAATGGATCCTTCTGGGTTTCAAGGATTCTCAGAGGTGAGGAGGCAGGAAGGCCTCCTCAAATGCAAAGCCCTCTGAGCTCTCGCGAGTCACTTCTCCCACTGGGGTTTCCAGTGCTGCCTTTATCTGAAGAAGCGTTCTATTGCCACACAGCTTTACAGACCTAAAAACCACTAAAGGCCCCAAAGAAGTGTACCTATCAATGCTTTACAAATCAATACCAAAAACTTCCCTAAATCATGTATACCTTGAAAAACTGAAGCCTCTCCCGATTTCTACCAAATTCTACTTCTTGATTTTTCAACACTGTTTCAGGTCTGGAAAAAAAAAAAAAAAAAAAAAGAGTGGTTGTTAAACATATATCTTAAAGCCTTGTTTCTAAGTTTTCTTTCTTCTCCACATTACCTATACATATATTTTTTAAATCCTTAGAACAATTTACTAGATTTCTCAGATTTTGTTTCCAGCAAGGAAGTTTGTACTTTTAATAACACCCTAAATGGGCACAGAAAGGAGACTGCCTACACCAGTGTCCACATCTACACTCACAATGCCTTATCAGGAGACCTGCTATGATCAGGTTTCCACTGAAATAAAAAAGGAGGGCCACACTCATTCAACAGTAAGCGCCTGTGCAGCGGCTCTCAGAGCTGGGTGCAGACTACCAACACGCAGCAGCCTTATCTGAACAAATTTTAAGGCTTAGGAAGAGTTTTTGGTAAAATTCTTTTATTCATCATACCCAAAATGGAGGGTTCTTTTTAATGCTAAGTAGTTTTTTTTTTACATGGATCATAACTACATTTCACTGTGAATTGTTTAAACTAAGAGGTAATACTTTACGGCAAGGCAGTAAACACGGTCCCATTTGGAGGAAACTAATTTCACCTAATAGATACTTCCAAAAAATCATTTCAAACAGCATTTAGTTACTTACTTCACCTGCCAGCTGCAGATTAGGCACCAACTAGAACATCAATATAATTTGAATTATACAGGTCTTCCAAGGTCCAGAGAGCTGTTCCGTTGTCAATTTGTTTTTAAAAGAACAAAGCCAATTTGGATAATTCAGGGTGGTGTGAGTAGCTGAAGCCGCAGCATGCTCATAGGGCAGCTTTCTTAGGATTCAGGGGACACTGCTTTCTGGATTCACCACAGTGGCTCACCTTTCCGCTGCACAACAGCTGGGAAGTGCCATGCCAGTGCTAGGCAGCCACCCAACTCGCCTCCAAGTCAGGCTGACTTCAAGTGTCAGATGCCGTGTTCTTCCTGTGTGAGCCCTCAATTTCCTGTTTAAGCCTATAACTAATATTTCATGGATGCATTAAAGAACAGAGCTATGACTGCCACACAGCCAAGGACTATAATACCGCATCATTTAGAGTAAAAATTGAGGGGAAACTTCATAGAACTTTTAGAAACGAAGATATACAATAAGTTACACTGTCAAGTTACAAAAAGGCAACTAAAAAACCCAATGATTTAAGATCAATATAGCTTTCTTTCCTAGAATAAATCCCCAAAGACAAGACGTTAACCTCAAAAGTCAAGGTGCTGCCAATAGTGGAAGCAGGAAGCAGCAGTGACCACCATAAACCTGTCACAATCTGACAGCCAGATTATACTGAACTCCAAGAAAGGAAGTGTGCATGAGCTAGCTCCTTGTAACAAGAGGCTTCATACAGCAGCGAGGGAAGGGCATGTGGCACGGTAAGGACGACACCACTTGAGGCACCTACACCCAGCACTGGGGTGCCTGGGTTCAGGGTACAGTTCTGTTTCCTACCCTGGCTTCCTGTTGACATGCACCCTGGGAAGCAGCAAATGATGGCTCAAACACTTGTTGATCTGACACTCACAAGGGACATCCAGCTGGAGGACAAGCACTAAAATAAAAAATCCAATATGGGATCCCATTTTCTGCCAACATTAGTCATGGAAATGAAATACATTTACAGACAAATCTCAAGGAAGGTCTGCTTCATAAGGAGTAGAAATAGAGAATGACAGACACCAACCCTGGATTTAATTTTGCTTTTAAAATAGGAAATACAATGACCAGGATCAGTTTCAAGGGCAATGGAAGAGGATGCAGGAAGAAGAAGCAATGTGGACTCCTTGAGTGAAAAGCCCCCTGGTAAGACCGTGCACAAACATAGTAAGTGACATACTCAGGCACTGGCTGCAAGTGGAAAGGACACAGGATGGGCGTGTTCTCAATCTGCGAGGCAAACGTGCCCGGCTGCCGGCCAGGGTCCCCGGAGTCACACGCCCCTCGGCAGGCAGGCTGGCCTCGGCAGGCAGACTTCTTGGGTTGCACTCGAAGTGGGGAGAGCTTGCCTACTTTCTGCAGGTCACCACCTCCAGGATTCGGAGCGTTCTGTATTGCACTGCAGGCCAAAAGGAAACAAAACTGAAGCATTTCAAGTGACACAGTTAGCTCTTCAAATAACACACATGCAATGTTACCTGGAGTAACTGGCTATGTTTGAGGGCTAATCCCTCACTTAACCAAGGCAAACAGCAGGTTAAAACAGCAGATAAAAGCATAAATCTAGGCATGCAATAAAATTATTCTCATGTACTTTATACCAATTTAAATGACTTTTAGCAAGATCTTTGAAATACAAGTTATTTTCAGGCTCGGCATGGAAGCCTAGTGGCTCAAGTCTTCGCCTTGCAAATGCCGGGATCCCATATGAGTACCAGTCCATGCACCGGCTGTTCTACTTCCCTTCCAGAATCCTGCTTGTGGCCTGGCAAGGTAGCTGAGGATGGCCCAAAGTCTTGGAACCCTACACCCGTGTGGGAGACCTGGAGGAGGCTCCTGGCTTCAGATTGGCTCAGTTCTGGCCATTGCGGCCACTTGGCAAGGGGGCAAGTGGACACATGATCTTTCTCTCTTTCACTCTATAAATCTGCCTTTCAAATTAAAAAAAAAAATTTTTTTTTTCCCTTCCAACAACTTCAGAGAGCTCACAGGTACACAGTTTGAAACACAGGGCAGAACCTCCACATGTTGTGTGTTAACAGACTGGAGTTCCTAAGTAGCCACTCCAGGGAGTGCAACATACTGATAACTGGCCACAGAAACGCATCTTCTCTAGTTTGCTGTTTGCCAAAGAGGCTTAGAGACTTTTCTTGGTGAAAGGAAAATAAAGTTTCAGTGAGCTCAGTGTTTTTTTTTTTTAAGATTTATTTTTATTATTTTTTTATTGGAAAGGCGGATATACAGAGAGGAGAGACAGAGAGGAAGATGAGGAAGATCTTCCGTCCGATGATTCACTCCCCAAGTGAGCGCAACGGCTGATGCTATGCCGATCCAAAGCCAGGAGCCTCTTCTGGGTCTCCCACGCGGGTGCAGGGTCCCAAAGCTTTGGGCCGTCCTTGACTGCTTTCCTGGGCCACAGGCAGGGAGCTGGAAGGGAAGCGGGACTCGCTGGGATAGAACCGGCGCCCATATGGGATCCCGGGCGTGCAAAGTGAGGACCTTAACCACTGCGCCACCGCGCCGGGCCCGAGCTCAGTGTTTTTAATCAACAATGAATTAAAAACATTCTAATTCTAGAATTCTAATATTAATCCTCTGAAAGGTAAGTAGATCAAAAAAACAAAAAGGAAACAAAACTGAATTCAGATAATCACTCCAAAAAGTTTATAAATGGCAGCAAAAATATCCAAAAGGAAAACAACTTTAAACTCAAAATCTGCAAAACAAAACAAAACAAAACAAAACAAAAACACCCTGGTTAATTCATTGATTTTTTTTTTCGTTTATATGATGGCCAACACTAAATGCAGCATATTCTTCTCTGACACAAATGCCCTCTACACTGTACACTTGCAGTTAACGTGGAGGACAGTCAGGCCGTACCATTTACTGAAGTCGATCTGTAACGAATGGTCAACTGTGAGATCAGTTGGACAGGCAGGATGGACTTTGTTAGGGTCGCCTCCGAGCGCCTTCACCGCCTCCCTCATAGCAGCAAGGTCCACCAGAGCTGGTATTCCACTACAGAAGACAAAAAAAAAAAAAAAATCAAATCCTAATTATGGCTTCAATTCCCTATCATATTACGTTGACAAAAAACAAACAGCATACACGTTTGTTTTGTAACAAGTATTTACCAAATGTCTTCACTGAGCTATGCACCAGTGGTATAAGGCCCAGTAACACAGGGCTCAGGCTCTAACGGCATTGGAAGGAAAGGCACAGCGATGCCAGGCTCACAGAACAGCCTCTCAGGGCTATGATGGTGGGACACAGAGCAGGCACACAGAGTCAGATTCGGGCGGGCAGGGCAAGGCTATGCTTAGCTAACTTCTGGGACCCCTTCAAACTGAGCCCAGCGTGAACTCTTCTGATCAGTAATCCCAGGACATCCAGACCAGGCAGTCCTGCAGGCTACTGCAAACACTTGCGGTTTTATTCTAAGTCTGGCAGAAGTCAACTGGTGCATGGAAGAATGATATAATCTGATTAAATAACCAAGTCTCTCCAGCTACTGCATAGATATGAGCAGATCATGAACTGCAAGCATGCAAGCAAGAATACAAGTTAAGAGGCCACTACAGCTATAACCCAGGTAAGAGAGAGGTGGTTAGAACTGGGGTGACAATGGTAGAGATAAGAAACACTGGGGGCCCAGCACAGTAGCATAGCAACTAAAGCCTTCACCTTAAACATGCTGGGACCCCATATGGGTGCCGGTTCTAATCCTGGCAGCCCCACTTCCATCCAGCTCTCTGCTTGTGGCCTGGGAAAGCAGTTGAGGACGGCCCAATTCCTTGGGATCCTGCACCCCCGTGAGAGACCCAGAGAACACTCCAGATCTGCTGAGCTCTGGCCACTGAGGTTGCTTGGGGGAGTGAATCAATGGACAGAAGATCTTCCTCTCTGTCTCTCCTGCTCTCTGTATATCTTTCCAATAAAAGTAAATAAAAAGAAGAAAAGAAAGAAAGAAACAAACAAGCAAACATTGGGACACATATGTATTTCACTAGGTAGTGCTGACAAAATATAGGCCATTAAGCAAAAAAAGAAACAAGCCTAACTCCTAGATTTTTGGCACAAACCAATGGGAGGTTATGGTGCCATTTACCAGGACAAAGACTGAACAGGTGACATCAGGTAGGCAAACAAGAAGTCAATTACTGGGGACATGTAACGTGAGAAACCTTCCAGTAATGTAGAGATAACAAGCAGGTAATCAAGCAAACAGAGCATATGAATAAATGGTTTCAGAGATCTCTAGCTTTTGTTGAAATTGTTTCATCTTAGAAAGGGAAATCTTTAAAATGCATAAACCAACCTTCACAATTGAAAAACAAACACCCATCAAGGGAGTCCAATTTTTAAGAAGGGAACACTGAAAACTTACTAGGCAAAATAAAACTACAACTTACGTAAAATCTTGAAGGAGAACACGAGCAGGGAAGAAGGGCACTTCAACATTGCTTTGTTTGGTTTTCCAGTCTAAAATGTTCATAACATCTTCTTTCTTCATTAAGAAGCCATCACAATTTCGTACAGCAGCTTCCAAAAGGACCCGTATTGAGTAAGGCAGAACATCTAATTCAAGAGAAAAAACGATCATTAACAATGGAATAGTCAGATCTACAGATCCCCCAAATCACAAGAGTAAAAAGAAAAAAAAGTGCAGTTTCAATTTTAAAAATTTACTGCTCAGACGAGTAAATCCGAAGTATGACACCACTCAATGTTAACATCATGTAACTTCAACTGTATTACACATAAGCCCAAGGTCACACAAAAAGCAGAGAAGAAAATCTCCACATAAGGGATGCCCTGATGAGAGCCTATCAGCCTATGATCAAGACAAATACACACCTGACATCAGACACAGAAGACGAAAAAGTACAGTAACAAACCTCCGAGCGTGGGAGGAAAAAAGGTTATATGGTGTAAACTCAAATCAGGTTGTTTCGGTGATTAGAATTCATTTCAGAAAAAATTATTCACTCTCAATTACAAGTTGAAGAGTATAAAGGAGAAAGAGATTTTTTTCCTTTTTTAATTCTAATAATTTTTTATTTTGATAATCTTACATAACTGATTATGGTACAAAGGGTCAGGGGATACAGGAAACTAGGTAAGACCATTGTTTCCACACTAATATCATCATTTTTCCCCCTGTATCTGGGGTCAGGGGAGAAACAAAGGAAGAAGCCTCACCCAGCCTCCCACCCATCTCAGGTCCCCGATGTGGGGCTCGCTCCGAGGGTCCTGCTCAAGCAGTTTTGATAGTTCAAACTGTTCTGAATTGCTGCCAATCTTACCACTGCATGCATGATGCAATCTATTCAGAATCCACTGGCTGACATAGTTTCTTCATGACTGGGGATTCTGAGATCAGCAGTTCAGTTGGAGGGATTCCCAAAGATACTTCATCTGAGGTGATCCCAGACCTGATTCTTGTGTGTGCTTGCCAGTACGGGGTCTGGCACAGTCCATCACCCCAATCAGCTTATGCACATTTGCTGGGTCTGTTCTGTTTCCAGCCCTGTCTTTCACGCGAACCAATGGGTGTTGTAGTTCAGCCTGATCCTGCCTACTTCATATTCAGCCCTCACGCAAACCAGTGGGAACTGCAGCCTAGTCGGGGTGACTCCCCATAACCCCCACCAGACCTGCCCCTTTCCTGGTTCCCATGCATGCCAGTATGTACCGCAGACTTCTTCAGTCTGTCCCACATCCCATTTAGCTCTCATACATGTCAATGGGCACTGAAGCCTAGTTCAACCCAACCTGCCCTACTATGTAGTCCACACACATACTGGCAGGTGCCTTTCTGTCTAGCCACCCATGCCCCTGTCCTGGTTTCCATGCTCTCCAGTGACAGAGGTAATCCAAGAGGGAGGTGCCCACAATTTCTCTCCTAGGCCACTCCCACTCCCGGATCTTGCACTCTCCAGGTGGTTCTGCAGTTTAACTTGACAGAATTAGCCTCCAGTGCCACCATCTGCCAGCTGATGCTGCAGCAAAACCCAACCAACTCTCACCCACTCTGATTTATGCATGCACCAGTAGGAACAGTTAGCCAGGCCTGGCTTTTCCCTGATCTAGCTCACATGAGGCCCACAAGTGTTGCAGTCCTGACTGGTCTGGTCTGCCCCCATCCCAACTCACTCTTTCCAATGGGAGTGGCTGTCAAGGAGAAAAAGTTTTACAAATTTTAAGTTAAATTCTCACATCAGATTTTGTCAGTGTTTCCTTCCTTCCCTGATTAAAACACACACACACACACACGCCCGAGTGAATAAATTGCAGTAGTTCACACAATGGATTACTCTGCAGCCCTTGAAGGAATAAAAAGGTTTCATAGACTGACAAGGATCAGTTACAATAACCAGTATATGTCCTAAAGCACAAAAGCAGTCTAAGCCATGTTTACAGCAGACTACCATTCCTTAATAAAGGTAAAGGGGCAACACAGAGCCACAGCACACTAATCCTCTGTCTGCAAGTGATGGGATCCCATATGGGCACTGGTTTGTGTCCTGGCTTCTCCACTTCCCATCCAGCTCACAGCTTGTGGCCTAGGAAAGCAGCAGAGGGAGATTCAGAGCCTTGGGACCCTGCACCCACGTGGGAGATCCAGAAGAAGCTGTTGGCATAGAGTCAGCAAAATAAACTTAAAATACATATTAACAATTATAAAAATAGTATATAGTATTTTTTCCCAAGAACAATGCAAGGCTGGCCTGAGGAACTCAGCATGTGTCTTATATATCTCCTTAGTGATATATAAACTAAAAAAAAAATCACAGTGAAAACAATTATATTTGGACTCTAGCACTATTCATGTGATATGTATCATAAGAAAGCAAATAAACACTTTTGTTATTTTTGTTACTATGGTTTTCTTCAGTAATGACATATATGTACAAACCAGAGTAGCTAAGCTAAAAACCCTAACATTCAATTGAAAATATGGGTATGAACTCATGATCTGTTTTTCTCTTTCTAAAAACACAAGTATTTCCTAGCTCCATCTGCTGAAGATACTCAGAACAATAACAAACTCGACAAATCTGATTACTGTTTGCAAATAGTATTTCTCATCTAAAAAGGTCAAAAAACTCCCTCTCTTGAGGGAGAAATGACCTGTCTATGTCATGCTAAGGTGATACACAAAATGAGCCCAGAACATCCTGTGTCAGAAACCAAAGACTAATGGGAACACTAATGGATCAATCCAAGCATCAAAGTGAATAATGACTGTAATTCACTGAAACCAATGAAATGCATAAATAGCCCTTGGTTCATAATGACTCTTAACCCCTTCAATGATCACCAATGAAGTTGCTAGTGCATCAACTCATTACTCTGAAAAGTGACAGAGAAAAAACATCAATCATTATTCTCCTGCTTCAGGGTCACCAAGTACCTCAAAGCTCTTTGTTATAGAAGAGCCACAGCTAACAAACTTAGATGATACCATTAGAAAAATCACCAGTGCGCAACGATGGCTCTAGACAATGATCATCATGGGGATACGTGAGGTGGCTATCAGGCTGAGAACAAGCACTCACTCACCATCCTACAGTGAGACTTCATATACTCCATTTGTTCCATCTGTCTCCTGATAAAACCACAGCAGAAGTCGGGACACAGATGACATCATTCACAGGCCCTACAAATTAGCCAACTCACTTCTAACCTGCTGTAGATTCATTGACTTCTGAATCCCACCTGCAGTTGCCTTGGGAGGGCCACATACATTCCTCACCCTTGAATCAAACCACATTCTTGCAAAAGTAAATAAATTCTGTACACAAGTTGTATAAGTGACCAGAATCTAATCAAACCTCGAGCTTTACCTTTCAATGACCAGGACAAAGGAGACAGTGGAACAGTAAAGTGAAACCAGAGAAGCACCCTGCAGGATGCAAAAGGTGCTGCAGGACACAGCATCCTGCCTCTTCAACATGAAACATCATGGAAAGGAGTGGGGGAAGAGATTAAGAGACCTCAGACATAAAACAAATGCTATACGTGGCTGAACACACCCAATAATTGTATTTTTGAGACAGAGAAATTAATAATTGGAATAGGTTTTATATTAAGAAATTCTTTGGTTAAATACAATAACAACACTGCCTTTTTTTCAGTCCTTTCATTCATATAGACATACATATAACAATATTTACAAGAATGAGCAGGAAAGACATAAGCTAAAGTTTACAAACATTAGCAGGCACCACAAGGGAAGGGAGCAGGATTCAGCAAAAGGTAACATGGACTTCCTTGGATGTGGTCAGCAGAGAAGGAATGTATGAGAAAGCGTGATGGCCTTTTTCAAAAAGGAAAAGTCAATGCTGAGGTGAGGCAAGCCATGGCTGTCTGGGAGCGGTAGGTGCTGGGACCCTGAGCCCTGGGGGCAGTAAGTGCAGGAACCCCAGTTTGCCTGCCCTGGGTCTGTGAGCCCACCTGTGTGGTGGGTACCAGGTCCGTGAGCCCTGGGGGCCAGGGGTAGGGAGGTTTGTCCAGTGGGGCCTGGGTCACCTGGCCCAGTACTTCGGCCCACCTATGAGAACTGCTCCTCCTCTGTGGAAAAGACGGTGTAGTGGATGGCTGGCCCAGATCCACACAGAGGATATGGCAGCCCACTCAGGCCTCCAGAAGACATCTGTTACCACAGCAAACAAAGGAGAACAGAACAGATTGAACAACTGCCCCAGCCCAAATATGACAGCAAACATCTGGGTGAATGGAGACTCTAAGGTGAACTATGTCAGTCAATGGGCATTGAAAGTGTTCCCTCATCCTTGGATGAGCGAGATCGACAACATTCTAGTACTATCAAAACCATCTGGGTAGAACCCTTGGAGCTTATGACACATCAGGACCCTGGGTTGATGCTGGGTGGCTGTTCCCCATCCCTGGGTATTGGGGCAATTGGAAGGCTGGGTGTGGCTTCTCCCCTGGTCTCCTCTCTCCCCCCAGAGACAGGAAAAAGAAAAGGAAAGCTTGGAAACAATGACCACACCTACTTTTCCTTGAGCCTCAATTTCTTACACCTTGATCAACCATGTAATCATCATATATATATGTATGTATATGTAAATTAAAACAGAAACCTTCAACAACAGTGTTGGGTTCAGCTGGTGCCCAGCAAAACTGTAAAGTTTGCAGCGCCCACCTGCTCTCTGGCCCCACGGAAGACCACCAATGCTCTCCAGCAGGGGGTCCACTAGACTACAGAATCAGAAACACTAGACCAAAAGCCTGTGGCTGTACACAGCAGGTATGGTCTTTGCAAAGTAAGTTGATGCCCTTTCTCATTCAAAAATGGGAATGAATGCCAGCCACCTACCTGAGATGTGATCTATCTAGGACACATACAATGAGACAAATTACGATCCACAACAGGCACCATCCTCAACTCAATCTCAAACATTATTAAAGTGCGCACATCAAGGGGAAGCACAAGGGATGACCTGTTCTGTTTTGAAGATTTATTTATCTGAAAGGCATTTGGATGCATACTCACTGAGAGACTGAGACAGAGAACAACAGTCTTCTATTAACTGGTTTACCCCCCAAAA